CGTATCTGTTTCATATTTGGATGTTTTACTAATTGTAAACGATAAGGACCAGGTAAAACCTAAACTACATGACAAATGAGAAGACTTCATGCAGCTTACCAATCGTCAACTTTACATATTTCATACCAATAGTTAGACCTTTGTTTTTATACTTAATTTAGCAACAGATTATTCCGTTTACCTGATCAATACATAGGGCTCACGGCAGGTGAAACTCGTCGACAGGAGGTGTTTACTCCTCCTAGGCACCTGATCCCCCTCTAGAATTTCAAGGGGTCCGTGTTTTATGTCCTGTTCTCAAAATTGTATTTTTGTAGGCTTTCGGGATCGATCACTGTTCGTTATCTAGACCTATTCTATTCGTTCTGTCGGGAATGAAATACTCATTAAAATTGAACATGTAATATAATTATTCCGAAATAGATTATTTATAAATGAAATAAAGGATTTTCAAAAATATCTATGTCGAAAAATAGTCAGATTACATGCAATACGAGAATGTATTCTGAATATATTTGGGAGTTTATTAAAAAATATAAGGATATAATACAACTATAATGCGGTCGCACTAGGGAGTAATAATTTTGATTATTGTTATGAAGTATAAAATAATTGACATATTTTTCTTGCGCTTATAAATCAGCGACTTTTAGATATTAGGAAGCAAAATATAACAGAAAGTATAACAAATTCTCCAAAGGGTTATTTATATCTGCATTTTATTTTTCTACTTCCAATCATATCTAACAAAACCCACTGAAAAAAAATATAGACGATTAGTAGCAAATAATAGGTTATCAAATCATACATGTTTTAATTTTTGAATATCAAAACAGGTAGACACCGCAACATTACTAAGATTTATAGATACTGTATATGTTATATAATTATGTATATGTTGTAGTAATCTTCAAGATGTAGAAGACAAATTTCATTTCATTTTGAAATGCCTTTTGTATTTTTTTTTTTTTAGAAGTACTATTATACTTATTCAAGTATCTTTAAAATAATTCAATTGCTAAGTACTAAGAATAATGTTAAAGATCTTTTCAATTTGGGCAAAGTTCTGTAATATTGCCACATTGTTGAATATTACATGTAGAGAAACCTAATTATCTTTTTTTTTAAATCATCACGGTGCAGTTGTAATTGACTATTTAGGGGTTTTAAACATTTCAGCCACGTAGCATCGATTTTTTTTTAAAAAAAAAAGAGGGGACAGTCAAAAGAGAAATAAAGCAAAATGGGGGGATACAGTACTCAAAATTGTTAAATCGTGATTTTCCTCTCATATATTGTCGCTAAAAAAAATTGGGTACAATAACATTGGGGGGCTCAAGAGCTCACACGTGTGCGCTGCTATGAAAAGTGGAGGGGAGGTTGAATGAAATGCCCTAAGAGATGTTTGAACATTGCATGGTTTCTTTGCATAGTAGATAAGAGTAAAACGTCAATTGTAGCCGGACTGGGTAAAACAGGCGATTGGAATTGGGTTAGGTGTAAAAACTTAATGTTTACAGTGAGACTCATGGAGTTATCTCCGTTGACGTATTCAACCTGCCTATTATAAGCAATATTTGCCTACAAAAAAATTAATTGCTTTCGATGTTTTCGTTAGCAAATTGCAGATTTAAAGTGATTTAAATTAAAATTAATGAAAACTGTTCAATTAATTATAATGATAAATAACTAAGATAGTCACCTTAACTTTTGTAATACATTTTTCCATACTCATTGGTACAGAGGCATGACAGGAAAAAATCTTTCAAAACACCAATCTTATTTTTTATCCACACGTATTCTAAAGGATGTGATCAAATATGTTTTATACTAGAATGTATTTTAATCTTAGTAAAATTCATGTGTAATTATTTCAAAACATTTGATAATACGTAAAACGTCACATTGAAATGAGAACACCTGCAGTTTAATCAGAAAATCTGTTTTCTTTTCTCATTTTGAGTTATTTGATTCCAGGTCGACAATTTCGATATAAAAATAATACATGTGACGATCACACTACTAATGCATCAGTAATACATGTGAAGATCACTCTACTGATATAAAATACATGTAATACATGTGACAATCACACTACTGATAAAAAAATAATACATGTGACGATCACACTTCTGATATAAAAATAATACATGTGACAATCACACTACTGATATAAAAATAATACATCTAATGATCACACTACTGATATAAAAATAATACACCTAATGATCACACTACTGATATAAAAATAATACATCCAATGATCACACAACTAATATAAAAATAATACATATGACAATCACACTACTGATATAAAAATAATACATGTGACGATCACACTTCTGATACAAAAATAATACATGTGACGATCACACCACTGATATAAAAATAATACATCTAATGATCACACAACTGATATGAAAATAATACATCTAATGATCACACTACTGATATAAAAATAATATATCTAATGATCACACTACTGATATCAAAATAATACATCTAATGATCACACTACTAATATAAAAATAATACATATGTCAATCACACTACTGATATAAAAATAATACATCTAATGATCACAAAACTGATATAAAAATAATACATCTAATGATCACACAACTAATATAAAAATAATACATGTGACAATCACACCACTGATATAAAAATAAGACATGTGACGATCACATCACTGATATAAAAATAATACATCTAATGATCACACAACTGATATGAAAATAATACATCTAATGATCACACTACTGATATAAAAATAATATATCTAATGATCACACTACTGATATCAAAATAATACATCTAATGATCACACTACTAATATAAAAATAATACATATGTCAATCACACTACTGATATAAAAATAATACATCTAATGATCACACTACTGATATAAAAATAATACACCTAATGATCACACTACTGATATAAAAATAATACATCCAATGATCACACAACTAATATAAAAATAATACATATGACAATTACACTACTGATAAAAAAATAATACATGTGACGATCACACTTCTGATATAAAAATAATACATGTGACAATCACACTACTGATATAAAAATAATACATCTAATGATCACACTACTGATATAAAAATAATACACCTAATGATCACACTACTGATATAAAAATAATACATCCAATGATCACACAACTAATATAAAAATAATACATATGACAATCACACTACTGATATAAAAATAATACATGTGACGATCACACTTCTGATACAAAAATAATACATGTGACGATCACACCACTGATATAAAAATAATACATCTAATGATCACACAACTGATATGAAAATAATACATCTAATGATCACACTACTGATATAAAAATAATATATCTAATGATCACACTACTGATATCAAAATAATACATCTAATGATCACACTACTAATATAAAAATAATACATGTGACGATCACACTACTGATATAAAAATAATATATACACGTGACAATCACACTACTGATATAAATTTATGTGTTTACTCCTGTACATGTACTTTCTCTTTTATAATAATGTCTCTTTATCAATTATGTTTGCGCAGTTTTTTTTCTATGGAAAGTCATTCCAACTCCAGAATTCTTAAAATGTACACATGTGATTTACAAATCATGAAAGTACAATTTACATTTCACAAGATTAAAAATCGCAAGTGTAAGAATCACAGGTGAGCACTGAAATAACTTGCATAATTTACATTTTTACTTGTCAAGTTATGTTGGATAATTACAATTGACAAATTTTGATAGAACAAATGACAAATTACGAAATTATAATTTACAAGTTAAGGTTTACATGTGTATATTTTAAGAATTACAAAGCTGGATTTATGAACCCGTTGGCTTTCCATATTTTTTTTAATAAAGGTGCACACCATATGTATCCTTATTATCACAATCAGAGAATTTAACAGTACAGTTATTATGTTCGAAATTAAGGACCCAGCGCATGTATCAAAAGTTCCATTATACTCTCTTTGTGAGAATTTATCTATTAAGATCTATAAGGTATCAGCTGAATCTATTATTGGTAATGTTATGTATAAATCTTTGGAGACTAAAGGATGATGATTATACTTTCTCAATTCACAATTATAAGCGTAAATTTAGTATCATTTATCCTGCAGATTTAATTATATAGTAGCCGATGCTGCTTGGACCTATCCTGGTCAATCGTTCATGTTGTTCATAAACAAATATTTTTGTAATCATTTCTCTGTCTGGTTATCATTTATATAGATTTGTCATCATTTTGCATTCAAAAACACTTGCAAGAATACTTTATATTGTTTCTATGTCCATGTTAAGATTATCAGACCTAAAAGTAACTTATTTACTTTTATTCACTTCATATTAATTCATTTCAAATACACGAGATCACTGGGAAGGGGGAGGCAGTGGGTCTTCCCCCTTTTTTCTGGATATAGTCTTTTTCTGTAGTTTTAATATTGGAATTATCATTCAGATGCTGCCTCCCCCCCCCCTTTTCAAACTCTTTGTTGCTGTAAGGTCAAACACTCACAAATTACAGCATCTGAAAAAAATATACTAAAGGATAGAGAAACTCCAACCCCCACCCCCCTCAAACACACACACACACACACAAACACATACAATATATTTTCGAGTTTGGGCGATGTAGACTTTTTTAAATTGCCTGTTTTCCTTTTTTTTCTCTTTTTTTTTTTTTGAGGTTATCCCCCCCCCCTTTTAAAATCCTTGATACAATCCGAAAATAAACAATGTTCGCTATTTATGCCATTTTATAATCATGCACGTGCATTAAAGCAGATTGCCATTTTTATCACCCATCTTTACTGCAAGTCTTAAATACATAAGCTATCCGAGCCTGGCTCCAAGGAGGAACGCGTGCTTCACATATGCGATAATCATTTCTTAGAATTTACATTAAATTAACGAGGGACGTCCAAACCATCAAAGAATCCTTTATTTGTACGAATGTTTCGCTTTTCCTCAACTGTTCAAATATTTGAAGACGAAATGGGCTTGTTTCCTTCGATTATATTGTGATTTTGTGAATCACGTCTCAACGCAGTCTCTTTAACCAAGACCAAAAGTGAAACTCGGTATTTTTCGGAAAATTTAAGTTATTTTAAGGTAAGTGAATGTCTCTGTGTCGCGATGAACAACTGTTGCTTTTTTATTTAAAAGCTCATTGGTCTAAAATTCTCTGTGACAATCAAACTTTATCATCCTGTTTCTTCTTGCCGAAGACTGCATAAGAAAAAACAAGTCTTTTAAAGTTAAGGAGAAACAATTTAAATGAATTCTAGATGTTATGCAGTGTGTTAGTACAAGAAAATCACACTTCTTCTATCTGTCATCATTACGTAAAGGATTTGAATATTATGACTGCATCTAGTAGAGACAAATACCTGGTAACTTTTTTGCCTTAAAACTTCCAAATTATACGTTCCGTTTGTAATTTATTAACTTAATTTCTCGTTGTTTTGTATTCTTTGTAAGTGCTACAATATTTATTTTTGAGAAAGGTGAACTAATACATGTACATGGTGTATATGGACTGTTACTTTTGCTTCGTTGTGCATTTCATCAATATTGTCGCTTAATTTTGTTCTCAATCGTAATCTAAAAAAAATACTTGACGCAACGATCTTTTAAAAAAAGATTCACCATTGATCAAATCGCAAGCAGCATGAAGCGAATCCAGATCAAGCTATTCTGTGATTTCCTTAGCATGATAAACTTCACGCATGAGGTTAAACACAGATTGTTGATCGCATGTTCTTAAAGATTAGATTCAAGTTTCTTATTTATGATGTAAATGTTTTAAGATTAATCATAGCATGCATCTTAACAAGAAAATAAATCATAACATTCGGAATTTCTCTCTCTTTTTTTTTTTTTACCAAGGACTAAATCATAGAAATGGAAGGAAAAATGGCACCACTAGGAGAATGTTTTATACCTTTCAATCATCAATCATAAAAACACATTCATTTGTTATGTAAAAATAATCGTGTTTTACCAAATTTTTAAAGTACGTTAGTGTTTTTTTTTTTTAGGAACAAATTTTAACGTCACTTTGCTACTTATGAAGCTAAAATATAAATAATCTATACTCTACGAAAAAATATCGAATGAATAAAATTAGGAAAAGAAACCTACTTACGTATGTATGCACATTCCTATTGTTAACAGCCTATTGTTTATGATACTATACTGCATTTACATTGTTTATAGAGGGTGAAACAAATTACTCATTCTGCGATCAGTATTGTTATGACAGCAGTGTTTATGAATGAGATAATTGTTGGATGAGCACTTTCTTGCCATACAACTCAACAGGCATTATAGTATTCCCTTTCTAAAAGTAAATGTATTTCTTTTGAAAAGTAATGGTAATTACATAGGCTTTGTGCTTCTGTTGATTCTATTTGTTGATTGTTTTATCTTTATTAGAAAATCTTAAATAGAATATTTAATTTAATTGAAAAATCAATGTGTAAAAGTTGATTTTGCTGTACCATTTATATTTTTTAATGGGAGAAAGAGAAATAAATTCAATAATTCGTATCCTATTCATACAAGACGCAAATACAAGACGCGAACTATTGCGCGAGCAAATAATTTCACAGGCACAGGATTTAATAAAGATGTAAATCTCATGGCCGTAAGAACTCGGGGCCACGTGTGTGTGTGGGGGGGGGGGGACTCCAATAATTTCGTCGATAATTATATAATATATGTACTATAGAAAACATTACTACTTTATACTTAGCCCCCCTAAATAATAACTGTAACATAATAACGTCTGATGACCTTTTTTGCTTGTCAATGAAATTTTGCTTGGTAGCCCCCCCCCCCCTCCCCCACTGAAAGTGTTTGCCCCCTCCCTTTAAACAGAAATTGTTCCCGACGGGTCTGCATCTTAATAATTTATTCCAATATATATATGGTTTTTTTTTTTAAATATAAAGAAAAAGTCGCACATAAACGCAAACATGAGATTTTAAAAAGCAATCATCAAGGCTTTCATATAAACCCAGTAAAGAGGTGGCTTAATAACCCAGCTACGGCATTTCTCAGGCAGCACTGCAAATATTCGTTTTAAGTAAGACCAGATTAAATAATGTTGTTATTACAGATGTATTATCGTCAAACATGGCCTCCCCCTTACCTCAGCAGAGCATACAGGTAGGTATTAAAATCTACTTTATTGAAGATAAATCTGCTCATTTCTTTTTACTTCAATCTTTATGTGAAAACACAAGATTGGTAAGTTTTATCCATCACATAACCATGAGTTGTTGAAGATTTATAATGCTACTGTTGATCTGCATCTGCTGCGAAGAAATTAAGTTTATAGTTCTCTCAAGTGCTGAATTCTAGATAATCAATATAGATAAGCAATAAAACGTCATATGTTCAAATATAATAAACCTTGAACAAAATTACTGAAAGCTTTTTAAAGTAACTTTAAGAACTAATTGATTAAATATTAATCTTTATTTATCGAACTGTGCATAAAACATACTGGAGATAAGAGAAATGATGCACTTTCATTTCTATTCCTTTTTTTTAAAAAAAATCTATTAGTTTAATGTTTGCAAGATATCAGTACTTTAAAGTTCAATGTAAAAAAGCTGTGCATGAAACATATTGGAGACGAAAGGATGAGAGGGAGCGGCTTTTTCTCAATAACCACCAAGTTAGATATGGAACATATGATTCAAGTTTTTATTTCTAATTTTAACCTAGGCCCAGGGCAGGGTTAAAGCAACAAGAGCCCATGAACCACAACGCTCACTTAAGGCACTTTGGCACTGCTTTCTTCATCAGGAGATTATCTTATACTCTTTTATTCTCATAAAAAATGTTGACCCCGTAAAGTGATCTTACCCTAACCCCAAGGGCTAAAGACTTTACGAACTTGATTCCACACAATATGGGGATGCTTCAATGTCAATATGACTAACTCGGCCTTGCTCTACTGGATAAGCAGACTTTTAAAATATTTTTCTATATATTCCTATATATTTGATCCCCTATTTTTACCCCACCCTATCCTCCTGGGGCAAAATTTGAAACAAATGTAATTCTGCACTACCAGAGAACGCTTACATAATAATATGACTAATCATGTCCCAACTGTTCTTGGGAAGATTTTTTTAAAAATTTGCTTCATATTCCCATCTGAAACTTTGGCCCTTATTTTTGACCCTACCTATTCCCGGGGGCTATGTTTTAAACAATTAAGATTTTTTAAAATGTCAGAAAGCTTTCAGTTGAGTATAACCTTTTCTGACCGAGAGGTTCCAATCCTCACAAAGTCAGGGGGTCCTGATTCCACACGTGGTCATGGGACCTCTGACAAATTTCATTCGATATTTTACCGGCTGACTGCAGCGAAGTCTTTCCGGAAAATTACAAATTTTGACAAAATAATTTTGATTGTTTGTCTTATCTCTCGACCAATTACATTAAACCTTTTCGTGATAAACAGTTTGGAACATATGCATTGAGGTGTCAACTGCTCACTTTATATTTACGTTTAAAGTCAACTTATAAAAGCCCCAATTTGATTGGTGCTTCTCAATGAAAGAAGAAACATTGAATGAAACTTGTCAGGGGTCCCACGACTACGTGTGGACTTTGTACCCCTGACGTTGTGAGGTTGAGAGGTTCTTGAAAAGATTTTAAATGAACCCACCTTTTTTGTCTTTTCTTCATTTTCTCCCTTGAAAGTTACACGGGTCTCCATTCAGACAATTTTGAATTCCCTTTACTAAATGATGCTTCATGCCGAATTTAATTGAAATTTACCCGCAGGCTCTATAAAAGAAGTAGAAAATACGTAAAACTTACAGACGGACGCCAGGCATAAGAATAAAGATAAGAAAAGCTCAGGAGAGCTAAAATTGTCCAAAGTTTAATTTGAAATATATGGGGAAAATTTTTAAAAACCTTTAAAAATACAAGGCTACAAGTTCAAGCTATTGCCTCTGAGACGTAAGGCCACAAAGAAGTTAATAGTTGAAACATAGAAAAGGTCCAGAAAAACCTATTACTTTTAGAACTACAAACCTTTAAATTGCCAAATATTGATACAGTATTATAATGGAAAAAGATAAAGAAAGGTTAAAATTATAAAATTATTACGAATATATCCTCATGCAGTTATTTCAAAAAATGTCTGAATCATTACCGTAGAGGTGCATTTCTCAATATTTACGAAGGAGTAGAAAAGAAGAAAGAACATACAATGGTTTTCTTTTTGTAAAATGTGACGCTCAGCTGACGTTAAGGTTCCTGGGTGGGTTTCTATTCTTTTTAACATAAAAATTGCCCCTATAGCATATTATCTTATAAAGACATCACTCATCAAAAACAAGTTGGAAAATCAAGTATTTGCTATTGTTATCTCTATTTCAATAGTCTTGATTATCCAATTTCAATCTTGGTGTGCTAAAATTTGCACAAAATTCAAAACTTTTTTTAAAAATGTTATTATGTTCCCCAAACGAAGTTTGGGAACATATTGTTTTTACTCTGTTTCTTATTATTATGTTCCCCAAACGAAGTTGGGGAACATATTGTTTTTACTCTGTTTCTTATTATTATTATTATTTTTCTTCTTCTTCTTCTTCTTCCTGGGTACTTTTTTGTCCGCGAGTGATCTCGTCAACTACTCATCCGATTGAGGTAAAACCTTTTTAGGGTTAATAGGCATGTTATGTAGATTTGCGGAATCAAGGTCATTTTGCGCGCACGTGCATGCACGTGCGTGCGCGTGCAATGCGTAAAATGACCAATATACTTGATATAGCTGTGACTTTTATATTTTTTGATGAAATGCTTTGATACTCAGAATATAAGGATATATTAAAAGTGTAAACAAGATGACATGGTCAACATGCGCATGCATGCACGTGTGCGCACGCGCAAAACGTAAAATGAGAAATATACTTGATATACTCGTAACTTTTTTCTTTTTGATGAAATGCTTTGATACTCAAAATATTTATATATATCAAAAATGTAGACAAGATGACATGGTCATCATGCACATGCATGCATATGCATGCACGTGCGCGCGCGTGCAATGTGTTAAATGACCAATATACTTAATATAG